GTAGCCGAGATTCAAGCTCAGCGGTCACAGATTGAGCATGAGATGCTCAAGGTTTGGGTGGAGGACGATGAGTACGGCCGCCGTACGCAAAGGATCGACGCAATCATTTGCCCACTGGCGCCACATCCTGTACCACCCATCGAAGGATATAACGCAGTCGGGCTCACCAGCAGCTGGGTGATGCTCGATTATCCTGCGGGCACCGTGCCTGTGCGAAAGGTGGAAGAGGGTGATCTGGAGCTTGGAAAGCCACAGGATGGCAAGGCAATTAGCAGCTGGGATGAGAGAAATCGGGAGCTGTGGGATGAGACTAAGATTGATAGACGACTGTACTTGGGAACGCCACTCTGCGTGCAGGTAGTTGTTCCCAGGCTTCGGGATGAGAAACTTGTTGAAGTTATGGGCTTGGTGGACGCAGCGTACAAGGCAGATGGTGGAAGGTTGAAGGTGAAGCTGTAACATGCTTTTTGCAAATAGTTTATCTATACCAAAATCACTAAAGTAAGAGACTTCTGTCATTTAACGTCAGACCAACTCAAGACAATCGCCCATCAAATGGCATGTACGGCTCCACAAAAGAAGCCATTGCTCCAGCGCCGGACCCAAGATCAAACCCGTTCATAACTGTGTCCCAGTCTTGAGGCGCCATTATGTGATCATAAGCCGAAAGACCACAGTCGCCTAGAGGTAGTGGAAAATCACCCGCAGTTTGCTGGTCATACACACAAGCAGGGATGGCCGGTGCTTCCGGGGGCGTACCTTCTGGAACCGTCCGTCTGGCAATGGCAAAGCTAGCAAGCTGGTGAAAAGTCTTGCAGACGTCGTAGAGCTTCTTCGCGGATGGAGAGCTGGTCGATGTCGGCTCTAACGCCGATACGGTGGCTGCGAGAAGTGCTAGATCGTCTGTAGAAGAGGTCGCGATGGTGTTCCCGGCTAGGACAACGAAAGCAGCAAACGGTAACATTGAAAACATTCTGTCATCTTTAGCAATTATCCTATAGAAACAATTCCGCAATTTTACGGTTTCAACTTACATGTTAAGCAGCATGGCCCAACCTGTCTGGTTATCATTGCCCCAATCGTTAAAGGCTTCTACCATTGTTGTCAAGGTCTTCCGGGCTGCATCGATGCAGGCAATGTTGCACTGAAGTGGGTTCGAGTTTTGTGCTTCGCATGGCACAATTCGATACGCGATCGTGACCAGGCTGTACATGATCATATCGAAGAGCATCGCTGGAGCTTTGTAGATGTCATTTGTTAGGGGGCCATCCTGAAGCGCCTCGAATCATGAATGTTAGCAATTGTTTTCAGCCAAATATTCTCTCTGGCACACCTTTTTAAAATCTTTGTTCGTTTGTAGAATCCTTTTGGCAAAGGACTTCGCTGTCTCGATCCTGCTCTGTTGTGGTTGTTGAAGGGCCGAAGCCGAGAAGAGCTGGATGTGCATATCACCAACGATTATGGCGTAATCTACGTAGCCGGCATAAAGACTAATGATTATCACATCAGTATCAAACTAATAGTTGCACATCATCACCACTGGGGACTTACTGAACCGGAACACCAGGAACGTAATCGTCGGGCACCGTCGGTTTCGGGGTCGAAACGTCACATGGATGGATAGACGGTGAACGCCCGAGGGTAAAAGCCATCCCTTTATCGTGGATGTAGATGTGCCAAAAGATTTGCCGCTCCTTTGAAACCCTTGGTCCCTCTCTCGGAAGACGATGCCAGCCAAGATCAATGCACATCCTGGAGGCGGCTGAAATCATTTGCCAAGCGAGGGCGCTTCGTCCGGACTTATTGCAAAAGGTGTACTGATGCTTCAGCAAGGCAATAGGGGTGCCAAGAAGGTTAAGGAACATACCAAAAGAGCCAGGGCTTGGCAAGCTTCCATCGACGGGTCATTGCAAAGCCTCAAGGACTGCATAGCAGCCTCAATGTTATCCTTCAACTGCTGTGAGTACTCATGAATATTTGCGTAATTGACGCCGATCTGTGTGTGAAAAGGCTGCTTCAAGTTCAGAAACATGTAGAACAGACCAATGTTGACGATTATCCATGACAAGATGGAATAGTCATTCACTGCGAAGTAGACCCGTTGGCAAAACTCAGTGAACTCCTGCTCATCCACGACTGAGCAGTCCACGAAGAATCTCTTCTTCTCAACATGTGCTAACCGGAGAAGCTTCAGAACCTGATCGATAGGAGGAAGAGACCTCCCTTCCAATTCCGGATATTGGATCTTAAATGGCGAAGGTGATTTGCCGTCGGAAGGTGGGCTGCTTTCTTCACTGTCGGCAGTCTCGTCGATCATGTGTGTCGTGGTGGTGAACGTGGGGTCGCCAATAGTCAATTCAAGATTTGACGCGGCATCTCTCAGTGCATCAGTGATCTTGTGAACATGTGCTTTGAAGGAAGAATCGCCGCGATAGCCCTCGGACATGATGGCGATGTTTGATGGGTTGCTGCTGATGTATGATGCGGGAGAGTCCTTAGGCGAAGGTCCCGATCCTTTCTCATTGATTTCAAGGAGCTTTTGAACAGCTTGTGAAACCTCACGGAGGGATTGATCAACGTTTTCCATGGCCTCGTCGTATCGAGGGGAGATGAGAACCCGCTGCCGCCTCTCAGTGGCGCGATGAGATATCCGGCAATTTAGACCGGAGGCGATGCAGCTTGAGCATGGTGCCTCGCGATCGCATTTCGTCTGAAATATGAAATCAGTGTTGAGGCCAAGATGATGGGGCATCATCAATTACCTTTCGATCTTTACATTGGTCGCACTTTGACAGATTGCCGGTTAGCTCCGAATACCGATTGAAGATGGGGTTTCCGACGCCTCACCGCAGGCCGTTTCCCGCTTGATGTCTCCATTTCTCAGCTTATGTGAGGTGCGACCGCTTAAGAGAACAAACATATACTCAAAGTTGAAGAAGATGAATGTGTGCGTCGCACACTCTCTTTGTCAAACTCATGTTCAGGCACATGCGCTTTCTCCAGCTCCAACTTCAACACTGCTGCCTGTTTGCCAACGGCGGGGCACACTACGCCTTCCAAGGACATATGTGAACGGTCGGCCGCCGTAACGTCTGGGTGTACGGCCCCAACCATTGCCACAAATGCTGCAGGAATAGCGACTAGAGGACTGTGATTGGATCGCATCCCTGTCGGTCTGTCAGAGATGGTGTCTAACCTCGGTCGGGGAGAGCCGAAAGTAACACCTTTGTCAAGATTAGAGGCGTAAGTGAGCTTCGAAATTGTTATAGTGCGTTACTTATTCGCGGACTTGGACGTCATTCCAAGGCTCATACAGTTGAGCTTCTATCTCAAAACTGAAAACCAACTACCATGAAGCTGGCAGACCAGGCAGGAACGAATATCGCCGTACAGGCAAGGGTACGTAACTGTTCTACATAGTACTTCACCTTATCGCGCTGGATTCAGAATTCTTATCACGGCGTCAGTGGCCGCGTTACCATGTATCCCCGCATTCTCTTTCGGATACACTAATCTCGGAGAGCTCGGGAAGTATTCAAAACGTGTTCCAAAGTCGTATGCACCTTTAACAAATCCTTTGATTCTACGCAGTTTGACTGGGTGTCAAATTGAGCTGCAGGTTTAACAAGCAGTCCGGTGGGGGGACGTAACGGGATCTACTAACAGTATTCCCGTTCCTCAACACCCGCCAGGCTGAACATCGTTGAGAAGCACTATCACCAAAAAGGCAAATATGCATGCCAAGGGGCCAATTGACCAACGAGAAATGCAATGGAATCCAAAAAACGAATACGTGCTGTCTCCTGGACCCTTCATCGGGCGAACTTTAGTGATCATCAGCACCGAAGTAGGCAAATTTGCTTGTTCGTCACCACAACCTTACGTCACGTCATGTGGATTTACTACTGATCATTGAACCATGCGTCGAATCTAGGCAGCGAGGCTTCTAACCTTGATTTTAACATGTAGTCAGCGGGCATGACCTACTAATGAGACCAGCTTATCCAAGACGCCAACGGCTCTGCGGCAGGAAGCCACTTTTCCTGAGGATCTGCTTCGGGCCCTCGGGCCCGGAATGCTACGCTGCGCCGGCGAGCACAGCCACGCAAGGCTGCTGACAACTGGTTGTTCGTGAGCACAATTGACAGGGGGCCGACTGAGTATGTTTCTGCCATACTGAATGGGGAAAATGGCATTGCCATGGTCGGGCTTGCTGCGAACTTCTTGCATGGGTTTGGACTTGCGCCGGTGGACTGCATGTCACAAGGTGGCGTAAGTACTTTGGCTTCAGGTTTTAAGAACACCTAGTATCTTGAGTGTACTATGCGGTTGCCTTACGCCCATGTTCGCGGACCCGAGGAACCGAGAACGGGGCTTTGAATGGGACTGAATGCAAGCCAAACCTTCTCCTCGATGCTACGATTTGATATTTAAGCTGCACAAGCCATGCTCTTGACAGGCCGTTCGATGCAGCTTCAGTGGCATTATTCTCCTTTCAAGCTTTTCGGATTTCCAACACATTAATCATTGCCTGATCTTTTTCAAATTACACAAAGAATGCTGCATCGTATTGTCAATCTAGGCATTCTTGTGGGGTTGGTTGGTGCGAAAAAGCACGCCTGGTTTAGTAATGGGACAACTCCAGAAATTTTCAATGGCGGAACGCCTCCGGTATGTAAAAATACCTCATCTACGTCTCTATGTAGGCTAAGTGCCACGAGTGTGACGCAATAATTGGGGCTGGTCTCGAAGACAGGTTGCTTCTTCCGACAGATTCTGCCTATGAAGAGCAAGTCAACACTTGGTGGGCAAAGAATGCGCGGCAGCATCCCTGGTGCATCGTTCTCCCACAGAGTGCCGCCGAAGTTTCTCTCACTCTTACAACCTTGCTGGATACTGGAGATGGAGCTGGCGATTGGCACATCGCAGTCCGGAGCGGGGGGCACGGCTGGCAACTCAACAACAATATCGATAACGGCGTTACCATTGACCTCACGCACATGAACTCGTCTGTCTATGACAAGGAGATGAACGTGGCTCGTGTTGACACCGGTGGCCACTGGCAGTACGTCTACAAGGACTTGGACGATCAAGGGGTCGTGGTTGTCGGCGGTCGAGATGGCAACGTCGGCGGCGTTGGTGGATTCCTCCTTGGTGGGGGCACCTCCTTCTTCTCTCCTGCTCGAGGATTCGGCGCCGATAACGCTGTGAACTACGAAGTTGTTCTTTCCAACGGTACCATCATCAACGCCAACAAGTCTAGCAACGCAGATTTATGGAAAGCCCTCAAGGGTGGCGGCCCCAACTTCGGCATCGTTACGAGGTTCGACCTCGAAGCAATGCCTACACAGGAACTTCACTATGAGGTTCGGTTCTTGCCCGGAAACGTAACTGATGAAGTTATCGATACCCTAATCGAGTTTGCTGACTACGACATGTCTATGGCGGACAATGCTCTCGTCACATATCTGACGTACAACAGCACGCAGAGCACAGAGATTATGATCGGTACCATCTTCATTAACACAGCTGGCGAGGATAATGCCACAACTGCTTACGACAATCTGAGGAAGATTCCTGCATTTTTGGAAAGCAGTGAAAAGAAGACCCTGGCCGAAGCAGCGGCAGAATCGCAAGTGGCCGGTGGAGTATGGTAAGTCTTGCCCATATCTTCCTTGGGTGAGCCTTTGGTGTGCCTTATGGCTGACCGTAAACTCAGGGCCTCCGGAGCCACACTTCTGTACAGAAATGACAGGAACATACTCCAATATGTTGCCAAGATACACGAGGACTTTGTCAATTCTCTTCAAAACTCCATTGGGGAGGACGCATTCCATACCATGATCTTTCTCCAACCAGTCACTAGGGACTATGCAGGCATCGCTGAGGAAAAGGGCGGAAACATGCTTGGACTCGAAAGCATGGAGGGAAACGCCATAATGTGGACAGCCGCCGTCTTTGTCAAGACAAACGAGGCAGATTTCGCCATTGCTGAGCACCGCCTAAACGAAATGTCAAGCTTAATGAACCACTTCGCAGAGTCTGTTGGTGGAGCTGAAGACTTGATTTACCTCAACTACGCCAGTTCACGCCAGGAATCACTGGGAAGCTACAGTGCCAAAAACCTCGAGTACATGCGCAAGGTTGCGGAGACGTATGACCCAGAAGGCGTCTTCCAGACGCGTGTTCCTGGAGGGTTCAAGCTATCAAGGGCAGCCTGATCCTCGTGAAAAGAGACAAGCTTTCTCGCGTTCAAGTGCCGTCTCATTTATTCCCTGCATGCAAGAAGCCAGTAGCATCCAATTCAAGCGCACTCATGGGCCTAAGGTTGCAAAGATGTATTTAAAACAAGCTAGGCATGTAAAAGGCTTGCATAGCTATTGAATGATACTGCAGCGATAGAAGGCCCGGAGATTCGACCAGCTTCACCAAAGTGTCCGAAGGATTCAGTCCACGCGACTTAATGATCATCGATAAGTTCTGATTTGAGGCTTTGGTGTGCTTAGACCTGAGGAGTGTAGTCGGTGACGATGCCGAAAATGAACTCCTCGAAGTGACACTAGCCCTCGAAGGTCTCTTGACCAACGATGCCACCCTTCATATTACCATTTGCACGCTGGTAGATGCCATCCTCGTCCTTGAAAATCAGCTCAGGGGTGATTTCCAGCGCCAAAATCTCGCCGGTGGGCAGTGTGTAGTTGACTGTGATGCCCTCAGTCTCGAGCAGACCAGTGACAGGGGGCTAAGCAGCCTTGCCTCCTTTCTGGCGGACGATCAAGCTGTCAAGACTGCAGCTCACCATGAGCACCTCGTCATCCTTAACAACGTAAGAGCGGCGGCTCTCGTTGCCATTGTAGTCGAGGAGGTTGTACCAGACGACCGTGTACGGACCAACGCGACCGTGGCCCCAGTCCCAGTAGCGGGGTCCGTCGATGATGGATTGGTTGCCCCAGTTCTTGTCATGCTACCCAACGCCATCGGTAAAGCTGATGGCAGTGTCCTTGATTGTGAGGTCGACGGTGGTGTCAGCGTCCGGGACTGCGTTGGCCCAGTAAAGTCCGGGGAGGAGGTTCTGGTTGGCACCAATAGCGCCGTTCAGGTCGCATGGGTAGTGAGTGGGTGCGGTCTAGTTCGCTCTAATTGGCAATCAAACTACTAGGACAGTAGAATGAGAATGCACGATACTTACTGATTTGAAAGTAATGTTGCCGTTGATGTCCATCACGGAGGAGTCAATGCTGATGTGGTATTCGACATCAGGCTTATCCAAGGCGGAACCATCGAAGGTTCCAACTCCTTTCCAATCACCGGTGATGCCCTTGGGTCCGTTGGTGATAGTGAAGCCGGAGTCGGCCAGAGCCTCATAGTAGAAATCCGTACCGTTGGCATACGTACCAAAAACCTGAAGGGCGAGAGGATGGGGGTATAGTTTGAATTCTCCAGTGTTGAAGAAAACAATGTTGAGCGTCTGATTAGTGGCCTTAGTGGCCTTGGAGAAGACGTCGAGGTACCAAAAGTTGGTGGACGCCCGGGCAGCCGGGGTCAACATCTTGAAGCCGTCAAGATTGCCGGCCACGGAAAGGTGTTCGACAGAGACCGTGCCATTGAAATACTCAGGGGCGAGCTCAAGCGTGCGGGTAGTTTCGTTGATGGCAGCTCCGAGAGAGCATCCGACCATGGCGGACGCCGCAGGAAGTTTGTTGATGCCCATGATGTTCGAAGAATTATGGTGTAGAAATCGAAGTACTAAAGAGTGAATAATTGAACGAGTGTCGGATGGCAAAACAGATGATGCTGTGACTGAAGGAGAAGAGAGAAGAGTCAAATCACATTGCAATCGGTCGTCCCTATTTATATTGTCATCGTAGAAGGTGCCACTCCTGTCGCATATCTCCATCTTTTCTCAGCAGTCCTGAGCTCTACGAAAACGCGGCAACAAGCAGAGCCTTTCAGGACGCCTAGCTTGTCTCATTGGCTCCATTCAATGATATCCTAGCCGCGGATTGGATCTGTGGGGTCGAAGGTGTGGGATCGAGGCAGTGTTCCGATTGTTTTCTACGGGTTCTCCGCGATCTAAACGCCTCTCATAATCTCCGGCGGTATGCATCCCTGTCAGCTTGAACCGTGGTAAAGAACTTGATAATGGCTAGTGGGCGCAGCGGTCAACACTCAGGTTTTGCGTTCAAGAATGACGCGTATTCGTATAACTGGCCAGTGCGCTATCCGAACACCGGCCACATGTGCCGCACGACATGAGCCGAATCCCCTTTTCGAATGCAGTCATTGAAGAAAGTCATCGAAGAAAGGCTGGTGGAGAGAAATTGAGGTAGAAGTTATTTTAGGAAGACGACGACTCAATCGCAAAGGATTGAGTTGCTCTCCATTGCATGCTTGGAGTCAAAATAGTTGCGTAAGTGGGGGTTCCCGCAGAGCCTCCTTGAGCTCAACGAATGCTACCCCTTCCGAAAAGCAGCTTCGCCTAGAGAGGCAGTCCTCCTTACCTAGTTATCGTTCTAATCCCCGCGCCTTGTAAGAGTGGTTACGTTAGTTGGCAACAACCTCCTCCGTCTACTTTCTCGTAGGGACTCTTTGCATTCTCTGAGGTCCTTTAACAAGCTAGCACGGTAATGAGTATTGGATCCTCAAAGGATAAGGAACAATATGTATTTGGATGATGACAATTAGATTCGCTATGCAGTGCTTTAATTAGTGACTGTTTATCATTGAGTAGCTTACTATGCTCTATAGTATGAGTATTTCTTGTTCACGAAGGTCCCATTTAACCCAATCTTTGCTGCCCTTCTCCCTCCCAATGAGTCGGGCCAATGGGCGTGTCTGACCAGAAATAGCAACATCTTCTTGAGAGTCAACAATTGAAGCGCTTCCAACAATACTGTAGTGCGGCTGCTCTCCCGCTGGCGGATTGACTGTGGGCCGCAGAATGAAATGCAAACCACAGCCAAAGACGATGGCGCACACGTCGCCTTCCGCTACTTGGCAGTACCCCATACCAAAGAAACCACGATCGGTGAAAAATGGTGAGCCACCCTCGTTACGTTTCAATACTTTGTGCAACATGGGGAACTTCTCTTCGCATGCCCTGGGCAGGGAAACGTTGTCGCAGCTTTGCAACAACTTGACCAAAGCCTGCCTCTCATCAGCCCAAGCAGTGAAGTCCCCGTCGAATGGTATGCTTGCTGCACACAGACAGTCGATCATGACTGCTAGCCTCTGCTCGGGAGGATATGCATTGCCCACATTCATCCGGTGCACTGTCGTCAACAGCTCCGCCAAAGTTGATAGCTCTGGTTTAGGCTTCAAAAAGCTTGCCCCAGCTCTTACACAATCAAAGACAACGCCGGTCAATGTAAGTTTTGTTCCATCACACTTTCTAGTGAGATTGCCGTCGAACCCTTGACTGGGACTCAATGGTCTTCCCTGCCAAGGATTTGGTACCTGATAAATATCATCACCTCTCAAATCCCAACGAGGAACCCAGGAAGGGAGAGCATTTTGAGTACCACGCCCCTTGGAGCTAGTTTCCTGAGCGAAATGCAGGATTCGGATGTCGCCGTGGAGAATGCGCTGACGAGCAAAGGCGGTATACACCTCTTCCTTAGATTTTTCATAGTCCGGCTTCATAAGTCGGCCTGGACCTAGGTCGGCATATGTTTTCGACGTTGTCGCGAACAATGCGTCGCGAAATGCGCGCAGGACTAGCAAGAATGGACGGAATAATAGCACCATTCCCCCCGGGTACGTGATGCGCAGGAAGCCCAGTGCTGATGACATGAGACCCATGGCTACCGACCATGCCTTCGGCGCAGAGTTCCGAGACCAGTTGGTGGCTATGAACGATAGTATGACTGGTAAGGGGGCCAAGTACAGTAGGGAGAGGTAGGTAACTCGCATCTTGGGTCTTTCTTTGTAAATTACCCCGTCACCACGGTGGCTGAATACCCCAAGGGATAAGAAGGCGAATATCCTATCTTTAGGATTCGTCATATCTGTCTCTCGCGCAAGGTTCAAAATCGCAGCGATATCCAACTGGTCTGTCGAATAACGATAGGCTGCTGCTTCCTTCCCGTAACGTTCCAAGTGTAGCTGAATGTGGCAATGAATATTGGAACGAGCGCCCATATACTCTTCCTCAACTTCTGTGCAGCGAAAAGCAACCCATGCGGCACAACGTATCAATTGGTCCCAGGCGATGGTTTTTCCTCCCCAGAGAATGTCGGTGCTCTGACCGAGCGCTGCTTCCTGGATGACCCAGCCACGATTGAACCAGGGCTGGGATAGCAATCGATTGAAGGATTTCCATCTCTCATCATTGATGATGTTTCTTCTCTCTTCGGTGCTCAGCTGTGGGAAACCGTACCGTATACTTCGGATACCAGCCAGCAAACCGAGGTTCTGTCGAACATACGCATCTCGCTCCCGAATCACTGATCCCGCTTTCCCCGCGTGGCCGTCGTCCCCGTCCGCCAGGTGAATCAGAACCCTAGATGCCCTGGCGTAGATTTGACCCATGAGAGCCACCTGGTGGCTCTTCTCTTCCTCGTCATCTTGGTTGATACATAGGGAGTCGGCCCAAAGGACTATCTGACCAAAACGCTCACGAATTTGATGCAAAGCTTCAAAAAGATTCGGCGTGATGTGCGTAGTCTTGTCGTTGCAGAGAATGACTTTGTCCTTCGCATTGGTGCCCCAAACGTAGGAGATTGCGTCGTAATAAGGCCCCAAAATGTTTCCCGGTCCACGGACGTTGTCCAGGTTCCATGTTTCCAGCCGGCCCCTCAGAGGTTCGGCAGACTGGCCTGCCTCGAGGACTAAACAACGAATGAAATTCCCATGTGGCAGCGACTGATACACTAGCCGCTCTGGAGTGTGCTCGCGAACCATCGACATTGGACTGAATGAGGCTGTTGATTGCTCAATTGGCTCAAATCGTTTGTGGGCTTGATCAGCACCTCATGAAGATAGGAATGCAGAGAAAGCTCAGCTGGGATCGAGAATTGGGACAATCATCTTTTTCAGGTTTTTGCCGCACCTTCCCGTGGCTGTGTAAAAGCATGCATATTGTAATTATCCTGCAGATAAGCGAGTGGCTGAGATGGTGCTGTTACCGCAGCCAGCGTCGGCTTATCTACTGCGTAGGTCGTGAGGACAGGGGTACTCAAGCGCCCAGTTACACAGGTACCGGGTAGACTGATTAGTCTCGAGTTGTGATTATTATTGTTAAGTACCTTATGGTGTGCTGCTTGTGATTCGTGCTTGCCAGGGCGATGACACCTCGGCAGCCCAACGAGATGCCCATATGAAAAGCTGGAGGAGAGCAAGGAGTCTGGCCATCACCCTCCAATCGGTCACCCCACATCCGCCGCAGCAAAACTTTGCCCCGTCGTCCCAGTCAAGGATTCGATCCCACTAGGGCTAATTTAATTGACACGCGGTCCATTTTTGGTGAAGCCCTTCTGGAGTTCTGAGAAGGTCACGCAGTGCCTGGTGCTCACGACCGGCCAATGGTCTTCTCTGGTACGCAGGCTGTGCCTGGAGGCAGGGTACGCTTCTTCAACCCTTGTCTAAACACTTCCACCGCGTGCACCTCGTGGGGCAAATCGTCCGGAACTCCGATGATCCTGATGAATTACCCGACACGCCTTACCCAGCCCGCCCAAAGATTGCGAGCGAAGACGCGTTATAAATGTGATTCACTGTGAAGTGATATAGTGTATTAAAGTGTACTTTTTAGAAACTCTACTAGTACGTAGGCTACTTTTATAACTACCCCCCTTCCCTTCTCTTTTCACTTTTCTTAGTTTTAATAGTTAGGGAGGATTATAGCGATTACTATAATTACTTTATTTTTTTATTCTTTGAATTTGTTTAGTTTATTAAACTTATTTTAAACCTCTTCTATTTTCTCATTATTTCTAAGTATTTTATAAAGTTACTACTAATTAGTTTAGTACTTTTTAAAACTAAGTATTTTCTTATTAAATTAGAAAAAGAGGAATATAGTAATTTAGTAAATAAATATTTAGTAATAGTATTTATCCCTAAATTTATCTAAAGATCTAATATTAAAACTTATATTATTAGCAAAAAACTAAAGTTATTATTTATATATTTTTACTAAAACGATAAAATTTACTTTCTATTTCGTTTTGTAGTTTATTAATTTAGTACTAAGTATTCTAATAAGTTTAATTATAATAAGTTAATTTTTGTCACAGGCTAGAGCCCGGATTGATATCTCCGGCTTCGCCGGAGCAGTTACCGAGATCCAGCTCCGTTGGACCCACTAGTCTGCCGCAGTACGCCGCCTAACCCGGCCTGCTTCACCGCTGTTAGGTGCCTACTCTTGTAAAGTCCTTTCTTCCTTCTTCAGCTTAGAATAGTCAATCGACGGCACCTCTACGTTGAACAAGCCTAGGGGCCAGCCCCTTACAATTTTATTAGAAATAGTTAATAAATAGAAGAAGAATAAATTTATATTCTTCTTCTTATATAATCTTAGTTATCTATAAATTATTAAAGTTATTAATAATATTGTTATGAACTTAGATTAAAGTTTTCCTAGTTATTATAAATAGTATTATAATATATAGTAAGTATCTATTAAAATATAAATATAAATTTTATAGTGTAGCGTAAACCTCTACAAATTAGATATAGCTAGGCTTAAAAAGTAGAAGACGTGTTATAAATAGAGAACCACAATTGCTAAGCAGCAATTGCGCCTTTTTTCTTCGCAACACACCCCCTCAGATCTTAGAGACTCGTTTACTGGATCTGAACCCCTCTACGATCGTCTCTTCTAAGGGGAAAAATCCCTTCCGGGTACGCTAGAGTCGGGATTCGAACACGGGGTTTACTGCTCAAAAATAACACGATAACTAGCAGAGTTAAAGGGCTCATAACTGTTGCAAAAGTGGGACCACAATTGCTAAGCAGCAATTGCGCCTTCTTTCTTCACAACAAGTCGCCTGCTGTGGATGTCCAAGTCGAAATTCAACTTGGCTTTCCAGTCATACATTCGCCCGCTCTTGACCACGCCCTCACGTCACGGCCCCTTCCCCATTACGTATTACTTGGTTTCGTAGAACTTCTCGTACACCAAGTGTAGTAGTGGGTTGAGGTTCAGCTTCAGATTCCCTGTCCATTAGATTAGCACGTCCTTGTCCATGAGCCGCCGCGCGCTGTAAGAGCCGAACTCGGACACACGGTCGCTGCGTTGAAGCTCTCGCTGGTGATCGTACTGGCGGTCGAGGGGGAGGAGGAACTTCTTCTTTCTGTAGCAGCAATTAGCGCGCCTCTATTACCCTGCAGACATGCTCTATGGGTGAGTTTGGACTTATCACGCGGGAATTCGTATACCCAGTAGAACGTTACGTCTGGCTGAAGTAAACCCATGCGGCATCATTACTCAGATATTGGCTGACAGAGATCAGTTGACTATAGTCAGTCTTGGAATGGTATTCCCAATGCCTTGGTATTTTGAATCAAGATCCATCGAGGCAAGACTCATGGGTCGCAATAGTTAGCTGGTCCTCAAGAGGGGGCACCAGTCACCGCTCTACGAGCCCGGCGCTAGGAACAGCTACTGTTAATGTCGCCCCCGCCGGATGACAGGTCCGTAAGCCCAGCTTTGCCATTGATACGCTTGAAACCTCGTGGTATCGACGTCCTCTTCTCATGGAGAGAACCTCTCCGCAACGGCACTCCTGGTGCAGAAGTCTGGCGAATATCACTGTCGGCAGCGGAGTGCCTGCACCAATGTGAAAGCAGACGCAACTAAGCTGTGAGTTGGTGCTAGTGTTATCAGGGCCGTGGTATCGAAGCAAGAGACAGGAATGTACGCGGTAAAGTCGGGCTTCTCACAGGGTCCGGGCTTCTCTTGATGGCCCCTTCGTCTCTCTCTGGCTCGACCAAAAGGCTGGGCTTCCCTTGCAATTCGCAGAGCTTTACTCGCCAAGGATACACAGAGGTCCCAGCGCTCACGTGTTGCCCACAGCCAAAGAGTGTCTGGTTGATCCTCTTTCTCTAAGGCATTCAACCAAATTTTGTCGAAAATGAGATTTCGGGCAGCACAGGGTGCGATGGAAAATAGTATCAGCCCGTATTAACTCCTTACTCCGGTAAGATAAGCCTCTAATCTTATCATCAGGTTAGTCCAAACCGCTAAGGACCAAGTATAGCTAAGCTTGGCGCTCTTTGTTCTCTAGAAAGTCCAGCAATTCTTGATCTATAGCGTCTATGAAGCGGTTATTCGCCAAGATACAGATCGAATAGGCGGCCTCTAAGTCTGAAAAACCAACAAGCTGTCGATGCGGATTCTCTCATCGTCGATCTCCTCCGGCCGCTCCAACGAATGCACTTGGATGGACTACAGGTGTGCCAAACCGGCTAGGTGACCGTTGCCGGTGCAATTCCACAATGATTGACGCACAAGTGAACCCGAATTTGAATTCGAGATACCGATGCGAAAACCACCCGAATGGAGACTGCGGAGTGCACTAAACAGCTGCTTGGATTTCTCAATGCCGAAGTCAAGAAGAAGCCTCTTGACATGTCTCAATGGCTCAGCGCTCAGAAGTATGCGGTCGAGACTCGGCAAGTTGGTAAATGGAAAAGTCAGCCAATAAGAGGCTCGCTAGACTAACAGACTTGAGTCCCGAGATTTCCCAGAGCTTAGGTAATTGTGCTTTCTGTCATGCTGATTGGCTAATACAGCGAGAAAAACGCCGAAGAGCGAAGGTTTGCCGAGACCGGGCCCGACCATGTCGGAGCCGAAAGCTGTGATCCACCCTACCGGCCCGGCTCCTTGCCCTACGTCTCCGTCAAGTTGTGCGGGCTTGACCGGAGACCACAATCTTGAGGCTTGACCGTCATTCAGCTGGTAGATGCAAACATCACTCACTCCCGGCGGGTACCGGCAACTGTGCCTTGAGCTTGATGAGTGGCTTGCTGCGGAGTTCCACATGGCCATGGTAATCGGCATCAACCAAGGGCTTCCTGCGGTGATGGCTCACTTAGCGAGACAACAAGCTTTGTACTACGCTTGAAAATTCCCGCAGTATGCGTTCGGCGTCTCAAACTTGGAAACAGCGCCCGAATAGTTGTCAGGATATCTCAGTTAGTACCAAGCCACCGGCGAGACTCCCGGTTGAAGGGTGCAAGGGTACAGATGCCCTGTGCAATCTTAGACTTCGGCGTCTCACGGAATGACGGCATTCGCACTCCATGTATGTCCAAGCAACGTTGTAAATGCCTTCAGTGATCCTCGGTTTCGCGGTCTCTTGGGATGTATAAGTATGGCCTCAAGTTCCTGCATTTTGCGAACATCTGCCTCACCATCACACAGCTCACACTCAACTTACACACACCTACCAATACATCTTTCAAGCACTACAACTTACTATCTCTGGAACCACACTTTACACTTAATCATTATTTACCAAAACTCAAGCAACATGACTGCTATCAACAACGTCAAGGACTTCGACTTCATCGTCGTCGGTGGTACGTCTCTGATCTACGGCCTCTCTAACGCAAGCACAGTTATCTAAACCCTCGTCAGGTGGCACTGCTGGTTGCGTCGTTGCTGGACGCCTAGCAGAAAACCCCAACGTCAACATCCTGGTCATCGAGGCTGGCGTCAGCAACCCCATCGACAACGAGGCCATCATGACCCCCGCCCGCGCCTTCGAGCTCCGCGGCAGCAAGTGGGACTGGGGCTACAAGACCGGCATGATCGACCGCCCCGACTACACCCGCATCGAGAAGCCCAACACCCGCGGCAAGGTTCTCGGCGGCAGCTCCTGCTTGAACTATTACACTTGGATCCGCGGCAGCGCAGCCACCTTTGACGACTGGGCCCCCTACGGCGGCGACGAGTGGAACTGGGAGGGTTGCAAGGAGTACTTTGACAAACCTGCCACATTCCACGACGACCAGGAGTTGCTGCCCGAGTAGCTCGCGAAGAATGGCGGCGTCGATCCCTTCGGACCTGGAGGACAGCCCCATTTCGAGATTGACTTTGTCGTAGGTAACTCCCGTAACCGGAAACGTCAGTGTCAGCCGAAGCTAACGAAAGTTGACAACAGCCCATGTTCTGCGACGCGTTCCAGTGGCACATCCCCACGCCTCCGAAGGGCGACTACTTCACCGTCATTGTCGATCTCCTCCGCCCCCTCTCCAAGAACGGCACCGTCACGCTCAACTCCGCCGACCCCCTCGCGCAGGCCAAGATCAACCTCAACTTCTTCTCCAACGACCTTGACCTCATTGCCATGCGGGAAGGCGTCCGGAATGTGGACGACATCATCATGAACGGCGAGGGGATGAAGGACATCATCGAGGGCGACTACCCCTGGCCGATGCCTCGCTCCTCCGACGAGGCCATGATCAAGATGATCCTAGAGCGCTCTCAGACTGGCTTCCGTGAGTAGAATCTCTTATTTGTCACTTGTGACAAGCTTCTTGAACTGTGTTGAGAATTGTGTGACTGACTCTGGACTTTTCGACAGACCCCTGCGGAACCACTCGCATGTCTCCCGGCATCGACCAGGGTGTCGTCGACAGTAAACTGCAAATCTTTGGTGTCAAGAGCTTGCGTGTGATTGATGCCTCCGTCATCCCTGTCATCCCCGACTGCCGCATTCGGAACGCGGTCTACATGATTGGCGAGAAGGGTTCCGACATGATCAAGGCGGCCTATCCTGAGCTGTACCAGTGAGCAATGACTGGCCCAGGGTCAAGCCCTCACAATCTCAGCCTCCAGTGCGACATTAGTGCGATTTAATGTTGGATATGAGTTCTTAGTAATACATGAATTTGAACAAAATTATCGCTGGTTCGGCAAATCGTCTTTGCTGAACCTAGTCAGACTGGGATATCTTGAATCCCCCCGCCACCCGTGCTTGGAAGAAGCCGGTGGGATCATATGCCTGCGCCGTACGATTCAAAAGGAACCTATCCTCTCCAATAGTCCACCACACGTCTTGGAGGGGATTAGCGTAGTTGAGGTATTTCCACCTCGTACGCTGGTGCGTGGTGGCAGACCAGAGGAAGATAGTGTTTTCGACTGCTCGCTGGAGAGCTTCTGTCAACAACTCCTTATGCTCCGGCGTGGTTAGTAGAGCTTCAGCCTGAAGTACCATACTCGGTTCGTAACCCGCATCGTTGATACCGAGAACATTCTCGCCGTTTCCTGCGTAGTTCGTCGGCAGAGGTGTCAAGACGAAGATGATCCGGTCCTCGTCACCAAGAGTATTCTCGAACTCTGCAATGAGGCTGTCGAATACTTCAATCACCTTCCGGACCATGCTCATGGAAGAGTGGAATGTGAGTGTGAACCACACATTGTAGAGCCCTAACCCTCCCTCGATCTGTTTCACGAGACTCGAGATTGCAGCATGAGAGCGGGTGTCGACGACTGGGTTCAAATCTTCGAGTCCCACGAATGATGTTGAGTTCTCTACACCATCGACGTTGGCAAGGACCCATGCCGTAGAGGGACCTGTGGCAGGGTTCCAAGACAAGGACACGAAGCCGTTCTCTGCGGGGTTCTCTGGGTTCCTTCGGATCATTGCGTCGAGCTTTTCCAAGACCGCTTCAGCTTTATCGTAGGAAAACGCCGTGATGCCACCGTAGGCGTCTTGGGAAGGGAACGTTCGCATGTCGAATCGAGTGACAAGACCGAGGTTGTTCAAGCCGCCCTTTAGAGACCGCCAGAGATCATGATGACTGGTAGAGGATGCAGTAATCACAGTACCATTGGCAAGAACAACCTGTAAACGTGTTAGCAGGTTCAACTTCGCAGCATTTGTGTCTTCAGCACATACCTCATAGCTGACGACGTTGTCGCATGCCATTCCCTGCTTACCAGACTGCCAAGCAAAGCCTTTTGAATGTGTTAGCCGGTGTCTCCAATGCTTCAACCAGGCAACTAACCGCCGCCAAGAAGAAATCCCCCAACACCGACATGGCCTTCCCGTCCCCCAGTGACCATAACGCCCTGTTTCTCAAGCTCGGTGTAGACATCGCCCCATCTGGCCCCGGAGCCGATTGAGGCGACTCCGCGACCCTTCCGTGATACTTGTCAGCCTCCGGCAACTAAAACAAACACACTCAAAACCAAGTTCCTTCTTCGATGCCTTACCTCGGCATGGTCATCCTCCCCGTACGTGACCGAATCAAGCCGGCCAAGATCAATCGTCACACCATTCTGGGCATTATTGCTCGGGACAGGCGAGTGCCCTCCGCTACGAATCGCCACCGTCCAACAGCCGCCATCCTCAGCGCTGAGGGCTCTCAGCGCGGTCGCGACTTGCGCCGTGTTCTCCGGCTTGAAGACGCACCGCGGGGTCACCTCCTGGACGGCTCCGTCGTAGTACGACTCAAGCGTCTCGACGTACTCGCTATCGGCCGAGAAATACAGTTGCGGTGAGAGGCCGGCGTGGACGAGAGCAGCGCACTGCAGAAAGAAGAGGGTTTGAGCGTTTCTTTTGTCAAAAGCAATGACGGTGGTGGGGATTTCTTACGCCTCTGCCCAGGGTCTCATTGGCTTGCCGAGCGACCAGCCGAGGTGTTGCAGATGCAAGACTGGCGAGGACGACTGTCGCAAGAGCGGACAGCCGAGGGAGTTGGGGAGACATGTTTGCCCTGTGCTCACTTTGGAACTATTAACTTACACTCAGACACGGAGATTTTCTAGAATGAAAAGAGGCAACAAGCCTTTTATGACCGTTATTGGGGGCGCCAACCATTCTTGTTGTTGGGGCGCGGGATCCATGCAGCCATGCAGTAAGACGGAATCGAGATCCGCAGGACCTCGCTAGGAAGAGTTGGGATACTTCGCGTGGCTTACAATCCCACTCTCGCGTGCTGCAAATGTTCATTGGCAAAAGCCCGTCGACGTTTCGTCGCACTCGCATACGAATAACCCCCACTCCATTGCCCGGGGAAAAATCACGTCAATGGCAAGATGCGATAGGTGGGTTTCAATTGAGCAAGCCGGCTGTCGGAAGGGTCTTCCGCCAATATTTCGAATGCTGTATATGCGGCCCTCTTCAACGGCCTAGTGATGTCTTGCCTTCGAGCGCCTGTCCCTCCCGTCGCCTTACAAGTTCAAAAGGTCCTCGGCACCCCTGGGTCTGGGCAACCAAGATCGAACGATGTTCATGAATCGTTTTTTGGTGGGGGAATGGGTTCAGTCGGACTCTGTTGGTTCTGCCCATGTGTGCTATTGGCTGCTGGTCGTGCCCGGCTCCTCCGAGTCCGGAGATGGTGCTGCTCTGGTAGGGCGTCGCCGGGGTCGGACCGGGGTCGGGGCCCACCCGGAGCGGCGTGGAGGGCTGGGAACAGGGTCAACGGTCTTGCATTCCTCTATACAGGCGATTTTATCTGGATTTGATGATGGGATGGTGCGTTGAATCTTTCCGTCGTGTTGGCTGCCTGAGTGAGACCCATGATATCGGGCGTTGCGAAGACATGAATTCAATATCATAAGCTTCGCAGCCCATGTCCTGTTGTTTCGTAACTTGCGAACAACCGAGGTTGCTGAATCTCGGGGTATCACAAAACATCATGGCCGATAAACCTTCTTTTGATGAAGGGGTCGGCGGTCAACATTCCGATAAACAACACACACGCAGCATCCTCTCTATTTCCCGCAGTTGCCACTCCTGCAGCGACCGTCGTGGGTCTTCTCGCATCAGAGCCCCCACGAGAATCCTCGTCGCGATACTGCAGCCTGCTAGACAACCCTTCGCCTGTAAGACACAAGTGGAGCTCGAAGCCCGTATGAATAATCATCCAGTCCAACCGGATTGATCATTGTGCCGCCACGCAACCTCACACATTGTGCCGACAGCGTGCATAGGATTATTTCTGGGTCCAAAACCCGAGAATAAGGAAAAAGAAAGTTGAGACTCCATCCACATCACGTCTGACAAGTCATGACAGGCCTTACGTAAGGTGTCAAACCTGTCAAAGATGGAGTCTTGCTGCATAAGCCGTATCCCGTACAAATATGGCGTGTCTTTCTCTCCGAGGAGCTCGGAGCGGCTAGAATGTGTCTAGTCATTTTCTGCTCGACGACGCCGCCACAATGTCGGAAGGTGCAATCATGTACCCGATGCCCTCCCGGGACCCCTCTGTCGCCACGATGGTCCTCTCCTCAGCCTGGACCATGGCCTCGGTGTCGACCATCTTCCTGGCTCTGCGCCTCTACTGCCAGGCCGCGCGGACGCGGAAGATGTGGTGGGACGACTACCTCCTTTTGATCGGCTGGATGTTCCTGATCATGGCGGACATATTGCAGACGGTCATCTACCGGAGGGGGTACCTCGTCACGACGCTGACGGGGCCGGTGATCATGCCGGCGAACCTTGCGTCCGACACGGCGATGAAGCTCTCGCTGGCCTTCAGCAAGACCTCGTTTGCGCTCACGTTGTGCAGATTTACGAGCGGGTGGGCGCGCTGGCTGGTCATCGTCGTGGCGTTCGTAATGGACGCCATGTGTGTTGCGCACTCAGTGCTGGTGTGGAGGGCAAACTGCGGCGCGCCGGATCCGCATACGTTCCAGCCGTGTTGGTCTGCGGATAGTGGACTTTGGATGAACATGGTTGGGTCGAGTAAGGGAACATGTTTCGCGGAAGGATTGGGAAATTGAAAGCTGACGCTATGGCATAGTTATTTCAGCGCTGACCGACTTCATCTTGGCCATGATCCCGATCAAGGTTGTGTGGGGGTTGCAGATGATCAAGCGCGAAAAGGCTGGTGTGGCGATTGCCATGGGAATTGGTTGTTTGTAAGTCAAGAGGCCGTGAGATGTCTTAGTTGCACAGCGTGTACTGATACATCACTGTCATGTAGAGCTGGGAGCGTGGCCATTGTAAAGGCAGTCGAGTCCTACTGGGCCGCAAGAGCCGTTGGACCTGAATATGAGTTTCTCAAACGCCCCGTCTTCCTTCAGACAGGTAAAGGCTGACCTCGACACCGTAGTCTCCCGTCGACTCGCGGTTCTCAGCATCTGGATCCACGCCGAGCCCAACGCCACCATAATAGCCGCGTCCATCCCAGTGCTGCGTGTTCTCCTCCGGGACGCCAGGGCTTACTACGCGCGAAAGTACCGCTCGGGCAGCAAGTACCTCAGATCTGAGGGGGACTTCCAGAGCGGGACTACTTCGCGTGCTGCGGCTAGAGCATCGGGCCACATCAGCGACGACGGGAGTGAGGCGATTATACTGCAAGGGGGCAAGGTGCGGAATACGGTTGAGATCACGTCAGGAGGGGTAGAAACTGTGTTTGAGATGAATGATCGTTGGGACCGTCGTCCATAGGTAGACTCCATATCATCAGCATGTTCTTCAGCATTAGTGAACAATGACCTCGTACCATATTCATGCCTAGGCACAACTGCGTCGCCGATATGAAAACCGGAATGCCCTAAGTTCGCCTTGGCTAAGGGGTAAGTTCAACTATCATATCTTATTTCAAACGCGTAGAGCTGATGATCGACCCATAGATTTAGCTGTCCCACAACATGATTGGTCTTAATGCCTGAGGAATGGGGTTGAAAGGATTTTTGTAAAAACCTGAGAACACTCACCGAAGCCACACCGCGGTGCTGTCCAAAGTCGAAAATCATTCTATCCAATCAAACAAAAGTTTCCGATGCAGCAATGCCCATCACCGGTTCGTCAACTTCACTCGGGCACACGACCCCGAAGAGCAAGGATTACCTGCATCCATCCCGCGCGATCCCACCCCGCGCTGACAAGCCTCAACATCAGCAGCACAGCCTCATCTTCAGCAAGACTTCACATAAAACTATCTCCCACATCACACCCCAAAACTCACCTATTGCCATGCGGCATCTCATGATGCGAAATCATCCAATATGTGGCTAATCAACACCACAACGCTCAAACTCGCCGAGTTCCAGGGCGGGCCCCCCTCGCTGCCGTACGCCATCCTCTCGCACACCTGGTCCGACGGCGAGGTCTCCTTCCACGACATGGCCGACTTCGTCCACGCCTCCAAGAAACCCGGCTTCACCAAGATCTGGAAGACCTGCGAGATCGCCCGCGCCGCCGGCATCGAGTGGGCGTGGGTCGACACCTGCTGCATCGACAAGAGCAGCAGCGCCGAGCTGACCGAGAGCATCAACTCCATGTTCCGCTGGTACAACGACGCGCACATCTGCTATGCGTACCTCTCCGACTACCCCCCACCAACGTCGCAACCTCGCAGCAGCTTCTTCCGGTCCGTAGAACAGCTGTCCGCCGGGGAGCTCGGGCAGTGCCGCTGGTTCTCGCGCGGCTGGACACTGCAAGAAGTCGTCGCGTCACGGGACATTACCTTCTTTGACAAGAACTGGAACGACATCGGCTCCAAGGCGCACCTGCAGTCCCTCCTCGCGAGCATCACCGGCATTAACCAGGAGGTCCTCGAGGACCCGGCCGCGGTGTACGAAGTGCCCGTCGTGCGGCGCATGTCCTGGGCCGCCCGCCGCCGGACGAAGCGCGAGGAAGACCGGGCCTACAGCCTCTTCGGCATCTTCGACGTCAACCTGCCCCTGATCTACGGTGAGGGCCGCAAAGCGTTTCTGCGCCTGCAAGAAGCCATCCTCCAGAACAGCACCGACCTCTCCCTATTAGCCTGGGACTCGGCCGACGACGACACCCAGGCCTTCCGGGGTCTCCTCGCGCAGTCTCCCGACGATTTCGCAGACGGCTCGTGCCTCGTCCTGATCCAGGACGCAGCCATCCAGCAAACAGAGATCCGCATCACTAACAAGGGCATCCACTTCAAACCAGACGTGATGCTATCTCCCGGCAACATCTCGAACGCCTCGTCCCTGACGACAACACACCCTCAGAGTCAGGTGACTCAGACGCAACAATGGGCCGCAGCACATCCAGCCTGTCCTCCTCCCTCGTCCCGGAAGCCCTCCTCTCCCAAGACCACCGCGCCTTCGTCATGAAGCTGAACCACTACTACCTAGCCCCCTCCCGCCCGCCGCCCGACATCAACCACCACCTCTACGTCTGCATCGAGCTCTTCCGCACGCCCGACGCCTTCGTCCGCCGCCGCCGCTGGGTCCTCGAGTGGTCGCGCGGCACAAACCCCAAGATCGCAGACAAGCGCGAGGTCCACATCCCGCGGCACCTCTCCCCGTCGCAGTCGCGCGCCGTCATCCGCGAGGCCGACCACACCTTCTCCATCTCATGTAAATCTCCCACGGGCTACCGCGTGAGCGTGACCACAGGATTCCCCGCGCACCTCTGGTTCGTCGAGACGTCCACCTTCTGCACGAAAGCCCAGCCGGGCTTCGTGGGCATGATCAGCATCAAGCAGAAAGCAGACGGCGACTGGGTCACCTTAACCCGCAAAAAACGGCGGCGAGATCCACTCCCGGAAATGGCACTACCCCGACTTCCGCGTCTTCTTCGGCCTCGGCCGTCCCGGCTCAACCCCGGAAACATCCTTCTCCTCCTCATCAACACTCTCGCTGCCTCCCCAGCCAGAAGCCTGGGTCTACGTCCCCACGCGCGCCGACCTCCTCCTCGGCCGGTCGACGCTCTGGGGCGGCTACAGCCAGAGCGAGCTCGACAACCCCGAAGGCCTGCGGCACCTGATCCGGCGCTCGTTGGGACCCGAGCAGCTACGCCTACTCGCCGTACACGCTCGGCGGGACGCGGCAGGCGCCCGTGATCTCGGACTGCAAGGATGCGTCGGGCTGGTTCGTGCTTCGCGCTGAGTACGAGGAGGCGACGGGGATCGTCACGCGGGAGGACGCGGAGGTGCTGGCGGCCAAGTCGTTGGAGGTGCAGGCGGCGGTGACGTCGCATAGGTTTCCGAGCTGGATGACGGAGCATAGGCTGGAGATACAGGCGCGGCCGGTGAGGGATCGGTTTGATGAGGTGTCGGTGTTTTCGGGGCCGCAGGATATGTGTGCGGAGTATCTTTGTTTGATATAGAGAGATCGCCATGAATCGGCTTCGATGACAACGTGTTGGGAACCAACTTCATCGTAGATAGCCTTTGATAATGTTAATCCTGCCTTCAAACCCACCACCAAAATCCTCAAAATCATCATCACACAGCTCACACGCATAAACCCAAAGCCCCCAACTCATCCCATCCTCCCCACAAAACATCAGACGACGCAACCTCCTCCAACTCCGGACGATCAAACCCAACCCAACTACCCAATCGCATCCCTCCATCACCACCGTCTCGACATCAGACGACTTGAGTCAGATGAACACCAGACGAAGATCACGGTCACAACTCTAAACAACGCTAACCAGCCGTCTCCAGTTCCAATGTAATCTCACCCGTCAGCTACCAAGCCGCATCTTCAAACAAACCCGCAAGAGACACCAACGCCCGGCACGACTCATACTCGCCCTTCACCAAACCGTGAAAGTGTATTTCCAAGTGCCTAAAGCCTCGGAGTCGTTGCAGCGTTGTCCCGGTCGGATCGGAGGTGAGGTGGTGATGCCGGCTTGGAGGGTGCTTCTTGGGTTGGTTTCATCCGCGGACGAAGCCTTTTCCCCGGCGGAAGGGAGCACATAAACACCCCCTTTAGGAAATCCCTTCATCTCCGAAAAAACAACGTTCCAAGACACACAGAACCACAATGACAAAAAAATGAGCGTGGTGTTGGCATTCATTACTCGCGCGTCCAAGTACGACATGAACACACAAAGACTATTTAGATGTTTACTTTTTGCCCTCACAATCATGCCCTTCCCCTCATTTCCCACTCATCACTTTCAATCTCATATATCCCCGGAATTTGTCCTTTTCTCATCCGTCCCCTGGTATCTCAAAAACAAATGAAAGTAACGGACAGAACCATTTCATATACCACGTCCTGTCCTCTCACCCTCGCTCCCAAATCTTACACACCATCCCACCCTCGAAAATCGGCCGTGGTCATTACACCGTCATCATTCTCCCCAAAACAAACGAAAACCAAAAAGTCATGAAGAGCACACTTTCCCCATCCTCACTCAATCCGTATCAAAAAAGCTCCCCGTCCTCTTCAACATACTCAAATCAACCAACCCCATCACAATTCCATCCAACCGCCTCACCCTCTCGTCATAAATCCACCACAGCGCGCACCCCGCCACGCCCACGAGCACCTGCGTGACCCCCAGCCCGACCACCGTCGCCTTTAGCCCGGCCCACATCACAATCGCCCCGGGCACCGTCATCACAAACACGCCACTCAGCAAATTCCGCCAGCACACCACGCCAGCATCCATGTCCGCCACATTCCGCAGGCACACGTTCATGTTGCTCGACGTGAACTGCGTCGAGCGCCAGATCACGGGCCGGATCGCCGTGTCGAGGGTGCCCACGCCTGCGGCCAGCAGGCCCAGCAGCAGCGAGACGAGCGGGAAGGAGAGGTGCGTGCCGACGCCGTCAGTCGCGAACACGTTCGAGGGCGCGGTGGCGCTGGCGGAGACCTCGGACATGACGTCGTGCGTCTTGAGGCCGAAAGCGAGGATGCCAGAGGATGCGAGGACTGTGCCGGCTGCGAGTGTGCATGCGATGCAATACGGCGTGTAGTCCGACGCGCGTCGGCGCCAGAAGGCTGTCGCGACGACGGCGATGATGGCCAGGAGGAACGGCGCAGTCATGAGCGCGCCAATGTTTGACTCGGAGAGCATCCACGGCATGGGGAAGAACAAAAGCGACAGGGACTCGGAGAGACCCCAGAGAGTGCAGTACGGGAGGAACGTGACCACCACGAGCAGCCCCGTCGTCGGCGCCACAAAGGCCCTCGGCGCCTGCAAAATCGTCCGCAAGTCCATCGTTCCCGAGAACGACACGGGCTTCATCGTGCGCAGATAGGCCTTGGCGTCCTCGACGCTGGGTCTTCCGAGAGGCTTCGGGGGTTGCGACGCCCACGGCGAGGAGGTAACGGATCCGGGAGTCGGGGCGGGGCTGCTGCTGAACCACCGCTCGAACGCGGTCTCGGGTGCGCCGAAGAGAAGAAGCGGGATCGCGATGAACTGGAAGGCGTTGATGATTTCGAATTGCACGGTGAAGCGGCCTGCGTTTGCTGAGGCGAGACCGCCAAAGAGGGGCGCGCCCCAGGTCGTCGCGACGGTGAGGATGTTGTATATCGTGATGCGAACATTGCGTTGATGTTCCTAGCCAGGGTCAGCACCCACTCCCAAGCAAGTTGAATCGGCAAACGTCATACAAAGTAGGTATCCTGGATGGAACCGAGGATGAGCGTGTCAAAGGCTCCCCAGCCAAACCCCTGGAAGACACGACCGGCCATGCACCCGCCAAAGTTGTTCCCCGCTGCCATGTTCGCTATCGCGCCGATGAAGATGAGGACCATCGAGACGAGATACACCGGCCTCTTGCCCCAGATCTTGGACGCCACGACACTGAACAGGCCTGTGAATGCTGAGATGACGAGCGGCACGGCGGTGAGTGACGCGACGGCCGTGTATGAGACGTTGAAACGGACGGCGAGCACGCTGTTGACGCTGATGTACGCCGTCTTCATCCCACCCACTAGACCAGCCGTCATCAAAAGCGCGACAAAGTTGAGTTCCTTCTTCCACTGTGGCCAGTTCTGCGCACAAATGTCAATGCTGTTCATCGAAAGTCCGAGATTGGAAACCCTACCAAAGGATCGTCCGGGTCATCAGTCGGCTGAGGACTCAGCTCTGTCTGTGAATGCCGCCCCGTGCCGTACTTGATCTTGCGCTCGCTGTAGGTCGTCGAGAACGATAACCTCCTCGTCGAGCTCGTCATCGGCCGGGGTACGTCCTCCTTCGGCGGCGGCGGCGGCGGCGGTCCTCCGATCGATACCCTCGCCAGCGACACTCTGTTGCCCGGGTGTACGGCAAGGTGGCTCTCCCTCGGCCTCGCAACCTCGCCGTCCCCCTTCTCCACGTCCTTCTCCATCTGGTCGACTGTGTATTACCCAAGTTTATCCCCCCTCAAGTCGTCAAAAAGGTCGTATTCGTAAAGAGGTTTCGAGTCCAGCTCACGGTAAAGACTGAACCAGCAGTGATACACCAAGCAAACGTCGAAAAGAAGAGAAGAAGAAGAAACAAGAAATAAAGAAACAAGCCCAACCGGTGGAGTATGATTGAAAAAAAGAACGAGCCAAGCGAAGGGCAAAGAAGGGAATATGGTTGTTGAATTAGCTATCGGACGAGATCGGGGGCCAACATGCTCCAAGCCCTTGTTTGCCGTCCTGCAGCTATTGGGGCGCAAATATTGCAAATTATTGCACGATGAAGAAAGAACGGGAAGATTTCACGTTCGAACGTCTCGGCCGGCACTGAAGAAAGAACATGTCAACCCAGCCAGGTCTCGGGCGGGTCACTCCCATGATTCCTCTCTCAACGGCTCCAAGCGACCCCGATGCAACCTCACGGACCTGACCTGGGCCATGAGTTGTGGTCGACAGACGGCCTACGAGAATACCCCTGGCGGCCCAGGCATGATTGCTGCACGCGGCGAGGTGGGCAGCAGAGTTCGGCCCCTGTCACCGAGGGCATCATTGGACGAGACATGGCCCTTTGCAGGGATGTTGAGGCCTGTCAAACGGTCCCCCCATCCGATGCATGCTTGGACCATGGCCGGCCTGGGCGGACTAGAGGCTGAAACCGTCCTGATGCTGGGACTGTCTCTTGGGTATATCATAGGAGTTGGCGATTATTGTATTTTCCTGATGGGCCAGTATTATTTGCAAGGACTGGCCACACGAGGCCGGCTCTCGAAGAAAGAGGCTCAAAAGGCTCAATGCTAGCGCGGGAAACGGGCGAACCCTGGGCGCTTTCTGCGCCCGAACGTGCTTTGTGCATAATGTGGCCGATGTCGAAGAAAAGGTTATTTCAGCCAGCCGATCGTGGGCTTGCCGTATCCAAGACAGCCGCGCAGCCACATGGTGCACGATCAACAGTGATGAGAGTGTGATGCTTTCCCTGATCTTCGCACTGGCAATTCAGCGGGGAAAAGGCCGCTGATTGACGCGCGTCCCAGCCAGATCGCGGCTCTCTCTGCACGCTCGGATGTGTGCACTACTGCAGGAGTCGTCTTGATCATGATGGAGTTTGTGTCGTCGCCATCTGTTGCCGTTGCATTTGGCGCTTGTCATCCGTCATGATGAGAGCTGTCAACGCGGCCCCCCTCCCCTGGACTCCCAACACGTCTGATTTTGCCACGGCGACAACGTCTCGCTCCGCCCACGAAGCGAAATATCCGGACCGCTTTGTTTCTTCTGGTTCCGTGGTTCGTCGAGAGATTGGCCAAGTTCCTTCGTTGGTCCTCGGTTGGCTGACCCGCTGTGGGTTGGGGGAAGAACCATCCGTTGCAGGCCGTTTCGAATACCCCCCGAGGAACAAGGACCGCTGTCGGTTCGTGGGAACCTTCAGCCAATGTCCCTGTCAACGTTGACGGCTTTGAACGCGATATCCTCGGGTACAGCGCATGATGTCGATTTTTTTGAGTTAAAGTGCCCTCTCGCCCGAGGAATTTGACTCAACTGGAAATGGCTTTCGAATATTTTGAAATTGGGGAACTCATCAACGCCGAGTGATGCATGCGCTGCTGAGACGCACCTGTGGCCAATTAGCTTTCGCTCACTCGCCAGGTTACAGCCATCGATCCTTCAGCCAACGACCGCAGGGCCATGACGGCGATCTCGACATCACGTCAGTAACGTCCGACGGGATGCGACGGACAGACGAGTGAAAAAAAACGTGATGACCATGATTCCCTTGCAGCTCGCCGCCCTACGGCGTCGCGGCCGGTGTCTTCGGCAGTGTAGGAGCGGCCCCCGCAGCGGCGATCATACAATGGAGCAGTCGGATGTGTATGGGGCAAGCCAGTGGAAGCAGTGACCGAGAGTTCATGGCACATGCTTGCTTGATTCGGCTCTCCCAGCAGCCATGGCGATCCCGTGTCGTCAAAGGCCGCCGTGGGAGGGGGTCTATAATGTCCTGTATATCCTGTTGACCATTGCCCAAATAATTCCCGTCTGCAAAGGCCTCGAAGGGCCTTCTCCGCGGCGCATCCGTCCCGATCTAGATTTTCCTCCCAAAACGCCAATCTTTCAAATTCCCATTAGGTGTGCCCAGGGCATTTCCAGCCCAATCGTGGACTTTTGCCATCCTCCATTACTGCGAACGCATGACGATAATGCCAAGTCGCTGAAACGGTGACCTGCCGTTGTAATGCGTTGCATGGCTGGCCTGGCGGCCTCGACGCGAACGACAAGTGAGACGTCTCGTTCGCCGGCGGCCCCGTCCGTTGAGTTCGTCTTCCGTCGGCGACCTCGTTCCATCCCTCTAGGTCGGCCCCCGACCTGGTCCGTCTACTTTGTATAAAGTTTGCTCGAATCCCCCGAGAAGTGAGAGGTCATCACATGACCGCGACGGCCTGGGGGAAGAATGGGCGCATGGCAGGCGCCATCAGAACTGTCTCGATTGCGTGGGCGCTCTTTGCGTCGAGCTGCATGACGAAACCTACGGGCGGATAATGGTGAGCATAATGATCAAGACTGTGTCCAATATGTGTTTTGCGTATATTGCTGAGGCTGAATCGGTTCTTTGTCACATGGGTGGCCGCCACTAAGTGGTCAGACTGTGGGAATCGGTCCAGCCCAGCGGAGGGGCTGATCGGCCGCAGGTCAGGGCTGGGCCGGTGAAGGCCGCCCTGCCCTTGCTCCAGAGACCTTTCACCGGTAGCTCGGAAACCTTTATATGGCTAGTTCCGACGGTGGAGGTTGTTGGTAGCATTGGTGGGTAGTAAGTACTAAGGTGTTGTGTGTGTGTGTGAATGGTCGGTCCGGCCCGGTATCGGCCGGACGGAGGGAAAGATCCCTCAATAAGAAGCTATGACGATTGCTTTACCTGAGTCGACAATCTCCTGCACTGCTGACTTCTCCATGGCCAGCAACACTTGGCTTGTGCGAACCAGCAACTCTGATGTCATTGTCAGCTGCTTTGCTTCTCTCACATGTGACGGACTGAATCGTTGGAGCTCACCTTCGTAGCGAAGAGAGTAGGTCACAGGCGGATCCTCGTCTCTCGAGTGGAGGATAGGCGCCTGCTCCTGTGCGACCTGTGTTACGTGGAAGCGTAGCCCTACGTTCTTGGTGGCATCGGCCCACAAGATCGTGCTCTGGTCCCGCTGCTCTGGTGCGATGGCGCACTTGGCCGCCATGCGCTCGAGCCAATGCCTCCAGACACGCACCACACCGTCTTCGATGTTGCTGTGGCTCGCGAAGACGCCGGGTCTCGGGCCAGTCTTGACCAAGCTGGTTGTTGTGCAGAGCTGGGTGAAGGGCTCGCCCTCGTCCAGACAAAGCTCTTGGGTGACTGGCTCGTCGCCGGCGTCTTCCTGCGGGGCCTCGGCGCCGGGCACGCGGCGAGTGTAGATCCTCCGCATGCGCCGGGTTTCCTCCGAGACCACCGGGCGGAAGTGCGAGTAGAGCTGCGAGAGGTCGGCCAAGTCCAAGTCGTCGTCGCCGGACCATGTGCGGCAGTCAAGGAAGTCGACTCCCAGGAAGCGACACGACATGGAGGGGGTGGTCAGCTTGGCGCTCGGGTGGTAGCTCTCGAGCATCATCTCGTGGCCTTCCATCTCGGCGGTGTGGAGTAGACGGTGCTGTAGGATGGTGGTGGCTGTGGCATTGAAGCGGCGGTCGACGAGGGTCATGGGGAGCAGGGCGCGGGACTCGAAGGAGGACAGGATCGCGATCAGGATCTATGGGTCTGTTAGCAAGGCAGTCACGGTGTATCAGACGGTAACCAAGGCTGACCTCGTTGGGTAACGAGTCTATCGGGGTAGTGAGCCCAGACATGATGATTGTTTGCAAAGATGTGATAATGGTAAAGATGTGGTGTAGAACAATGGCTCTTGCCGTTCAGGAAGGTCCGGAACCAGACCGGTTGGCCATGTCGAGGGCGGTCATATTTAAATGAATCGAATCATCCGTTGAAGCACACCGAGCAGCGTTCGACGGGAGATGGTGTGCAGGGATACGAGGCGGGCAGGCCAGGAACGAGAGACCTCAGTCGGTTGGCGAGGTACTTGGGATGGAGATTGATGGAGATGGAGATGCCGAATGCCAGATGGCCAATGGACGGGCAGCAAGGGGCCGACGAAGATCCTGCTCGTGGATATGCGATGATGTGTGATGTGTCTGCTGGTTCGGGTTCTCTGGTGGCGCGACTGGGCTGATGCTGATGCGAATTTGCTCGTGCCCGCGGCCGGAGCGATGTGTGGATGGGCAGCGGAAAGGATGTGAAGCAAGGTTGATGGACGCGGGAAGAAATGGACAAGGCGTGCTCGGTGGGCCGCGGTGACATGTCGGGCACACGTTGGATCATGCTTCAGGGACCTCCCTTCCTGCAGCCGCTGCAGGGCTATTTCCAGCGCAATACCCGGCCACCTCAGTGGAAGATACCGCCAACCTGGTGTCGGTGCACCACTCGGGCTACCTGACTGGGCAGATTCCAACGGTTTAGCAGCCACTCACCTTCAGGTACTCCGTAGGTTCAGTGAGCTGACGGCAGTGTGGCGCCCAGGAAACGCTGGAAGCATTCCGGACGGGACAAGCTTTCCAGCGGGTGTGGCTGTCTGAGGTAAGGCAAGGCGGACGTCGGCACCCCCCAAGGGGACTAGCGCCTCGCTTAGGTGGCTGCCGAAGCGAAACCCGTGATGGCCGCCGCCCTGCACCTCTTGTTTTTCGCTTCTGCGAGTTCAGCCCAGATTGACGCTACCATACCAACACAACACACCCTTTTCATGATTCCTTTCCCAGACCACAAGATCCAAAACACATCTCCCAATTATTCTGCTATCTTTCGTTTCGAAAATCAAAGGCAAATTGCATCAAAAACTAATCGCAAAATACAAGCCTCTCCCCAGCAGTGCAACCCGGTATTGACCGCCGTCTACCGGTTTCGTCCGACCGGCCAGCGCCAGCGTCGACAATCAACGAGGTAACATCATCATCACCCCATCGCAATCATCTTACGAGACCTGTGCCTCCCGAGTCAGAATCCACTTTTCCTCGATAAAGAAACAGGCGGTGGGCAGAGTCTAGCGTCAGGACAGAGAGCCTCATTGCCTCCTTGTCCTCTCAATCTCGGTATTCGTCCAAGCTTCGCCATGTTGTCTGGACCACCCTTCCCAGCCCAAAAGTTACTGATCCCCCCTTCCCCCCCTGCTTGTACATAAGGTATCCGTAGGCCGTGATGTTTGTTTTCTCTCCGAGTTTGGAGCGAAACCCTTTCCACACATCACCGAACTACTGGCGCATCGCTGTCGTCATTCCGCCCAGTTCCTGGCCTCGCTCACGCCCCCTTGTCGGCCCGCCAAAGATAACAACGCTTCGTGGCGTGACTTCCCGCCTACCCGCACCATCGCGACATTCGACGACGTCTTCTAGACTCCCAATACTGCCGAGCTTGTATGCAGGATTTTTCCCGAATATGCACGCGCTGTATCTGTCCCCTGTTGCCAATCGTACTATACCCACGTCCACCGACTCAGGAAAACAAGAACACGTAGGATGAAGCAAGCAAAATAGGGGGTGTGAGAAGAACCTCAAAGCAGAAGCAAAATTTTCTGCTCCTCTTTCATGCGAGCCAATCTCTTCCGTCACATGTTTCGTTCGCACGCCCTCCCTCTCTCGCGATACATACCCAGCTCAGCCTCCACTTGTCCCAGACCGGAGTCCAGCCGTACACAAACCATCGCACGCACATCATCGCATCTTTCTCAACGTCTCCAGCCTGATCTTTTCTCTTAGACAGACACCACGGCATGTCCCGGGATGGTGTACTCGCTGAACCCGCCGCCCCAAATTTCGACCTGGATGCCGGGGTCCGCTGCGCTGTACGCGCCTGCCAGCCGGCGTCGCGCCGCCTCCGCCATACACTCGGATTTGCTGCAAACAACGTTAAAACGTATGTCAGCCTCAGTCACACCTCGCAAGGAAACACAATACACCCACACACACCGTCCGAACCAACCAACCACACACAAACAAACACCAAAACAAAACAAAAAGGTATCCAATGTAGCAAGCTCACATAGCACGTCACATAAAACTGCGCTCCGCCGGGCTGCGACACCGCGTGCAGCGCAATGGCCTCGGCCCGGAGCTGATAGTCCCCGGACCTGAGCGCCGGTGGGATTGTCACCTCGAACCGCCCGCAGTTCTCGTTGAGCACACCGATGCCCCACGTCGCGTCCGCGGCCGCGTTATTATACCCGTACTCGCCGTTCGTGAAGAAAGCCGTCAACCCGTCCGTCATTCTTGCTGAGGTATAACATCACGGGGCCGTAGTGGTTTCCCCCGATGGCGGGTTTCTCGCAGCTGCGCTCGCCGACCCCTCGACCGAGACCTTGCTGCCGGCTATATCGGGTTCGCTAACTTAGCGAGCGGGAAACATGCGTTGCAGACGATGCATTGCACCCGCAACTGCAGCCTCCTCTTTTTCTACATGCATGTCTCATACCTAGTTACGAAAAGGGGAGTACGTAGTGGGAACGATTTCCATCAAGAATGGAACCGGACGGGAAGGTCTCGGTGTTGTGGGGACGCCTCGCCTGGGACCTCGCCGGAGACGCCCGCGGCTCCGCCGACATTGCACCGTAGATCGTTTGACGCGACGTCCGTGACGGGGCTGTTGCTCGGCTGGACGTACGGTTATTCAGTGACAATTGTGGATCCCATCGCGACTTGGCCTACCGGAAGTCTGGCGCAGCTGCTGTCTTGGTCTTCGTTGCCCATCCACAGCTGCTAGAAGGTCGCATGGCCGAGAGCTGTTTCGGCGGTGCTTAGAAGTGCGAGTGTTGCGGTGAAGGTCTTCATTTCGACGATATGAGGATTGGCAGGGTTCATTATTTCGAAGAGTTATGCTTACCGGACAGTGTGCAATGACCATCCGGCCAGTGTCTAGTGTGGAATCCGCCTGCCGAGACCACTTGCTTTTCATACTGAAGCGAATACGCTTCTCTCTTTCGTCGATGCTATCGTCATCGCTACTATCCTCGTCCCCCATCGTCGTCCTCCATCATCGTCCTCCATCGTCGTTCCCCATCGTCGTTCCCCATCGTCATCGTCGTTATCGTCATCGTCGTCCTCCATCGCCGTTATCGTCATCCCAAACGTGGCTCCTACGGCTCCTCTGGCTCCTGAGGCTTGACTGGACGCGGTCTCCCTCCGTTGTCTCGCATGGTCATGCGAGCAATGAACCGCGCGGAATCTCCGTTGGGGTCGCTGCTGTTGCTACTTTCGTTCGAACGCGCCAATCCTTTTTCTTTGACAATCCATTGAAGACCATCACGGAGGACGGACTCGACCTGGTCGTAGAGAGAGTTGAAGAACTTTTTCGGGGGCCAGCGAGGGATAGAAACGGCGCTCCAGTCGCTGTGCGATCCCGAATGACTAGAGAAACTGGCGCCCAAACAAAGAAACTTGTGGCCTGATTCGCGCTCTAAAATTTCGAGCATGATGTGGCACACCGCGCAACATCTCTTGTTGACTGCCATAGGGATGGGTATCTTTCGGAAATGGTCAGTGATCTCTCGGCGAGGCAAAAGCAGAGACTTGTCGGCAGTCTCATGGTCAACGTTGTGATTGACCACCTCGCCACGAACCCGTGCAAGCACATGAGCACAAATTCCAATGCCTTCTGCATGATAGGCCAAGTCTTCTTAATGGGCCGTCTTGTGGCCGTCAAAGAACTCAGCCAGTGCGAGCTGCTCCTCGTTTGGGAGCGGCTTTCCATTATTGCCCTTGAAGGAGGCCAATAATTCAGCCGTGGACATCAAGTTCCTTTTCGTCCAGTCAGTTACAAGAGGCTGTATGGAGGTATTCAGAACGAATCTATCCACGTGACGTGAAGCGCGCATGATGTGATTGAGGGAAGCTTGGTGGCGGCACAAAATGCTCACAGCATCTGACACAGCCACTTCCCAGCCTGACTGGGCCGCCGTGCTCTCCAGAAGCCTAGACTCATCAGTGCCCCCAGCATCAATGCCTGAGACCCCAGGCTGATGGGTTGCGTAGAGCCATGTGTAGTGCGACTGCAGAATCTCGCTGAACTCCTCGCGAATACTCGCCAGGCAGGAGTAGGCACGGACGGTGGCGCCAACGACGTATTGGAGAGACTCGATATGGTACTGCTCCATGGCTTGCTGCGTCGAATCCTTGGTGCCTCTACTCGTTCCCCGGGCGTAGTTGGTTGCTTCTGTTTTGGCGTTTTGCAGTTCTGTGGTAGAATCTTTGACCGCTTTCATGACCTCAGATAAGAGTTTTTGAAACTCCGAACGACCCTTTTCGTCATAGAAAACATACTCTGGGTCTCCTTTCGCGTTCAGAGGGCTACGCTCCCAGGCTCTCTCGCCGTCTTCTGCAGTGCCACGACCATGCCGAACGTACGTCTCCTTGTAGGTCTGCTTGAGCAGGGTGGATTGAGCTTGGGTCTGACCTTTCCGAAAGCAGTATTCAAGTTCATCTTGAGGGTTTGTGGCACCTCCTTTCTGGAACGGCATCGATTCGATCAAGTCCAGGTCAGTGAGTGGGTCTGAAGTTGACCGAAGGGACTGTTGCAACCACTTGCCCATGGAGGTCGCTTTGAATTGCGAGGCCAACTGATCGACGGACGTCATGCAGATGGTGCCAAAGTTGTGTTTCTCAAACACGTCGATGACACGACCATGGAGCTTCTCGGTCATTTGCACGTAAACGAGATCATGCAGCAGGTTCAGCCAGTGAAACCTCTCATCGGACTTAGTGGCTCCGTGAAGCTTCTTCAACAGAGAGAGAAGATCCTGACAGTATTCAAAAATGATGATGTTGCTGCGTTGCTCCCAATCCTCTTTTTCCAGCAACCGGTATGCCAGGCGAATGGAAGCGGTACCTACCTTCCTACCGAAAGAAAATAACTTTGCTTCCAGGTGGGGCCGGGACAAGACGCGTGGGAAGGTAGGTAGCTACCTAGGACCGCAACTTCCAATTCTGCCTGCTTCCTTCCTTTGATGTGGCTACCACATAAGGTAGACGTGGACGGCAAGTCCAGGTGGAGACCATGGGAAGTGCGAGTGAAGGTCCACTCCAGGTGAAGGGTGGCATCACCCTCCACGTCTACAAATTCCCGCTGGAAAATCTCACTTTCCGGAGTTTGCCGTTGAGATTCCCAAGACACACATGAGAAGATCAGGAGATTTGCTCTTCTGTACATTCTGACGTTTTCTGTTCCTACGGAGACAGTGGAAAGGTTTGTTCACAAATGAGTCACAACAATGAAGACACACTGCTAGCTGTGTTCTCCCCCATACCTTCTACCGCAGTGTGTCCAATCTGTTCTCCACCTTGAGCGGTCACAAAAGAGAAAATATGCCTTTGAAAAGCATAGACAAGCATCCGGAACAATAGAGAGAAATGGTTGGGCACACAGACAACCTTTCCAACAATTGATCTATCTCATCGTGCATGAAAAACCACTTCATCACGTTCTTCTTACTTGGGCGTCTGATTGAGAGCACAGTGTTTTGGGAGTAAATTGGAACTGCCTCTGGGTCGTATACGTTGCATGTCACTTAAGTATGATGTTTTACGAAATGTCTTAAGATGATAAAAAATAACGTAATGTAGCAAGTCTTTGCAATATCTATACTGCCAGTGATCTCCCCACTCTCGACTTGCCAGCTTCTCAATATCGGTATCGGGGACGCTGGCATTCTGTGGCGGGCTACTGCAACGATGAAAGCTGCGGTACGCTGCTCTCTCCCGCTGGGCGCAAATCTTCAACGGATGGCAACCGCCCTTTGATAAAATCCCTGTTGTAGCATGCCCCTCAACCTCCGGTATTCAAAACTCGACGTCTTTGTCTCCGTACTTACAGCTCCCGCGGAGCTGATCCCGCAGCAGAGGCGCAAATGCGGGAAGAAGACATGCTCAAAGCAACCAGATGATCGATTTCCTCATCCAAGTGCTCCTCTCCGCCCAGAATCTCATGATGTGATAGAGTAGTGTGTATTCTGCAGCGTTGGGTGCGTTGACGATAGCGCCAGGCTGTAACAACCTCCCTCGACATACGTGCAGCAGCCGAAGTTATTTTTTGGAAGAATGACTGGAAAAACATTAAGATATTACAACGTGCCATCAATTGACCTCTGCACCCAATAATCCTTCCACTCATCCTTCGATAACTCATCGGTGAATTCTTTGACCGCCAAGACCTGAAGCTCCTCCGGCACCTCGCAGCAGTGGTAAAAAGTGGTGAGCGCCACTTTCTGCTCCTTTTCACGGAGGTCCTCCATCTTCGGCAACTTCCTGCCGTCAAACCGTATCGCGTGGCGTTTGGAGAGTTTCACCGCCTTCGAAACCAGGCGGTTAACGTACTGCACGTCGTTGTAGCGTTTGTTGTTGATAATCTTACCGCGCAGGTCCTTGCACTCGGGCAGCAGATACGCTCCTGTCTTCAACAGGGCGACCAGGTGGTCCGTCTTGTCCGTCAAGTGGTGGCCGTCGTCCCAGAAGGCCAGGGCGTAATGAAGCGGCGTGTAACCTGCACAATTCGTTGCGTTGACGTCAGCGCCGCGCTGTACCATCAAGCCGATCAGTTCTTCAGGGTCATCGTATCCCTCAAAACCGTCCAGGGCGAAGTAGTGCAGCGGGGAGTTGCCAAGACAGTCTTTGACGTCTGCGTCTGCGTCGCAGCGCTCCAGCAGGTGCCTGGCAAGGTTCACATCTCGTGAGCCGCACGCCTGGTGAAGCGCGTGAATTCCCAGCGTTCTGTGCGTGATCAAGGAAGACCCGGCGTTGATGAGCATCCTAGCCGCCTTTCGACACTGTTGTCTGGTGATCTGATATTCCGGTAGATAGAGGTGGTCGGCGGCCTTGTAGCTGGGGATGAGGGCGAAAAAGAGGGGTTTGACCCCTTTAGCCAATAGTTGTGATATTTTGTCCCTCCACAAGCCAGTATACCGCAGATGGCGCCAAAAAATTGAAATAATGCAAGAAATGGGACCGTATAGTCCGGGTTGATAGGCATCCACCTCGCATTCCGGGTCGGCGCCTCGATCCAACAAGATCCTCATGGTGTCCAGGTCACAATGGTACGAGGCCCAGTGAAGGGCCGTCATGCCGTGATGGAGAGGCTCCCATCGAGAATCCTTCGACTTTGTCACCTCGGTCTGATTGACGTTGGCGCCATTCTCGAGAGCCCACATCATGCCATCCAAGCTTCCATACTTCGCGGAAGGCACCAGAGCTGAGGCGTAGGCGTGCTTGACGTTCATGTCGTAGATGGTGGGCGTCATGCGATGGTAAAGAGTCTTGCAAGAGGCGGCCAAACTGACGAGGTCATGCCACACGGCAGAATCAAGACCCCCGTCAAAAAAGACCTTGTTTATCCGGTGACCTTTTGTACTTTTGTCGGCGAGCGTGGATTTCAATCCATGATTCTCGGTAATGCAACTGATAATGGCGTAGATTAGTTCTTGCGGTAGATCAACGCAACCGGCATACGTTTTGATAAATTCGGTGGTTCCAGTGGATGGACTCAGGGATGATAAGCTGAGTTGAAGGGAGCTCTGTTTACCAGAAAGGAGAGTCGTGTTGTTGTCGGACTCCTGACGGGTAGGCGCAGCGTCAGCTGCGAATGTGCGTTGCGTGGGAACCATGTTGATAATAGCAAGCTAGCTCATGTTGTGGTTCCTCGGTTCTGAAATGACATGGAAATAGAGGGGCAGGAAATTTTGTAACCTGAAACGAGCACAAATGGCAACGTCGGAACTTCCGTACTGTGGTGTGGAAAAGCAAGCAACCAACAGAAGGTATGCAAGCGTAGATAGGTGAGAAGTAATGATTTGGCTGATTGTGAGGGAGATTTGATCACAGACAACGGTTCGACGTGTTCAGGGCCAGGTACTCATGAGTTTGATCTCAGCTTCGGAGATACATACACGAGTTACCTTTGGGGTTGAACAAGTCATCAAAGAAAACCTTCAGGCTTAGTCACCGTAATTGACAACTTCAAATTATCAAGGGACACAACATAACGAGATTTTGTTTTTGAGAGAATGCGTAAGCTCAAGAGAGATAAAGCGAAATCGCATAGGTTGATCAGTGTGGATTCTCAGAGAATTGGTTGCAGTGTGCCGTGAATCATTGCACATTCAACAGAAGACCAGCCTCTCTACTTTTCCCGGCGCTATAGCGATGACGTTTCTTGTGTGCTTTACATCGTCGTCATTCATCGTCGTCGTCATTCATCGTTGTCATCAGTTATCGTCGTCGTCGTTATTTGTCGTCGTCGTCGCCGTCGCCGTCGTCGCTTCCATTCTTTTCTCTACCGTTGTCATACTCATTGAAGTCACTAAGTACACAGTAAACCACCTCGATGGTTGTCAACATAACGGGCCTTGTCCCAATAAGACTTCCAGTCATCCAAGCTCGCTGCTGATAATTTGGGTTGGCTCCGACTGGCCAAATTTCCTACACCACAGTTTGCACAGTTGGATATTGACCGCTTTTGCTTCCTCCTCGCTGAGCTCCACCTCATCTTCATCCACATCCGAATCGTCCTCGTCAAAATCCGAGTCCATCTCGTCGGTTTCTGAGTCATTCTCATCTATCCTCGATAAGTAGATGTTTTGGCCTTTGGTTTCTGCGTCCAAGACTATTTGTTTCCTGTCATCGGACAAGGGCCTACGGCTCGTCGATAGATAGAAATCTAGCAAACGCTCCGAAATAACGTAAGCACCTACGTCGAGAAACGCAAAGCATGCCTCAGTCTCAGCATTAGAGAATCTTGACCATTCAGAACGCAGAAAAGAGTGCAGCGGAGTGTATCCGGCTGCGTTCTCAGCGTTGATGTCCGCTCCATGACGGAGGAGTAAACTGATCAATTGCCTCACGTCGTTTCGGTAGGGGTCGTTTTGGTAAGGGTCATATGATGATTTGACGGCAAGCGCCATGTAATGCATCGGTGTGTTCCCGAGTGGGTCTTTGACGTTTGGGTCCGCTCCGACCTCTTCCAACAGGAACCTGGTCATCTCGAAATCGTAGCCGCAGCATGCTTGGTGAAGTGCGTGAAGTCCCAACCCGGTGTGTGTGATCAACGATGCTCCAGCCCGTATCAGTAGTCTCGCTGCGTCAGTCCCAGCATCCGCGCGGGCCTGAGATCCTTCCTCGTTCCTATCATAATAGTTGCAGCTGTACCTGGACGACTCCAGAAGGGTTAGATAGAGAGCGTTGGCACCTTCGTCGAGAAGTGTCTCGGCCCGCTCGCAGGAGTAAAAACGGTCCCAACGCGTGTGCGATTTGTACACCGATTTCATCGCGTTGGATGCGGGGCAATTAAGCCGGGTATCAGGAAAAGGCAACTTCACGGGCACCACGTCATTAGGGCTGGCACCGCGTTGCAATAGAATATCCATGGCGTCCAGGTGCCGGTGGTACAAGGCCCAATGCAAGGACGCGAGCCGCAGAGCAATTGGTGTTCGGGTGGTCTTTTTCTCGTCCAAAATCCACAACTCGGTGCAATCCGGAGAGTCGATTTGTGCCCCAAACTCCAAGGCTTTCAATATGCCGGCCACGTTGCCCCTTTTCGCGGAGAGGAGTAGGGCGGAAGAGTGGAAGGCATAGCTATCCAGTCGGTAGATCATCGGCGTGATGCATTCGTGGATTCTTCTGCAGGTCGCAGCGACATTGACCATGTCTCGCCAAATATCAAAGCGATGAAAGCGATCGTCATCGCCTCGTGTCTCTTTCTTCCGATAACCATTTGCCCAATCTGCCCCACGGGAGCCCAGACGCTTGAAGATCATAACAATAAGCTCCATAGGGAAATCTGCTACGGAGACCGTTGGCTCAACCGTCTGTTTGTCCTCGTAAATGCGGGGTGGCGTGCTAAGCCGGATAGAGCTCAATGTGTCCGAAACTGAGGCCAGCTCCTCGCGCTGACGGGAAGCCGCAAGAGCCGGCCCAGATCCAGATGATAGTGGCTCCATCAGGGCTCGTATTCCGCTTCGTTCGGCTTAGTTTCGGATTACAGGTTGATGAAGATTGAGGCGGGAAGTTTTTCGATCCAGCGATGGCGGGGAGTCTGTAGTGGTGTCACACAGCACCCGGCTAATGCAAGTATGCTGTTGGTATGCACACGGATGCGCGGTGGGGTGATATCGAATCATGGGCTGGAACCGAGCCCACGACAAGTTTTGATGCCCGCCCTTAGAAGAAATCTTCGGTCTCTATATCGGAGATATATTCTTGATTCACGGCCATCTGGATGAGTCACACCGTCAGCAACGTCAAGGTGTGATGCTTGAGAGGTTCTCGGTATAATTGACGGGCAAACCTTGACCACTAAGTGAAGTGGGGCAAAGCTTTCTCCAAACACACCGTTGCGGTGCAAATTGGACGATATCGCCTGATCCTCCTGTGTACTAGGTGACTTTGATGAGGAGGGCGACGATGACAGACGACGATGACAGACGACGATGACAGACGACGATGACAGACGACGACAACAATAGAAGCGACGAGAATAGTAACTATAGCGGCAACGACGACAGAGACAACACAGGTCAAGTAGTCTCTCTAGCATAGGAAAAATAGAGGGTCTGAATTGGACGGCTGTCGTCCCATCAGGTGTGACTGGACTACACTACATTGTGCGTCTGTAGCTACCCCAGTTGCTCCAAGTTCCAACCACAAAATTACCTTGCCCCTCAGGACCCTGATACCACAAAAAGCCTATCGATCTCTGTTGATTGGTGCTATCCCCGCATGCCCCATGCTGTATTCGTAATCCACTTGTACCTGGTGAGCTACCTAGCCGACCCAGTCCGATAGGCCGGCGCAGGATCGGCGTCAGGGGCAAGCCCAGGGAAGGGACTTGCGGTACAACCACTCGCCCACTTTCATTGAACGAACATCCATGATTTAATTCAGAGCTAGCTGTCAGTTATCAGGTGATGCACTCATACGCAGTGGAATTGCTCTGAGGAGAAATTGAGGAGGTGAACGAGATTCTTTGGTTCTCTCGGTTGATTGCCAAATTACTGTCCGACACGAGCAAACACAATGCTCGTTGACGTTCCTGAAGAGACGTGGTGCACTGAAAGTCGCCCTGTGGCAAGAAACTTTTGTTTGATTTGGATGGACACGAGACTTTTATGCCTTATGTGAAGCTATTTTACTGCTTGCCCAACTCGTCGGCGCGATCCGTCGCGGCCTTGACGGCGCCCTCCACGATCTCCTTCAAGCCAGCCTTCTCAAAGCTCACAAGAGCGGCATGCGTCGTGCCGTTAGGGCTGGTTACGTTCTTGCGCAACTGCGCAGGCTCATCAGAGGACTCAACGAGCATCTTGCCCGCACCGAAGCAGGTCTGCTTCGCCAGGCGGGTGGCCTGCTCCTCGGAGAGCCCGAGCTTCGTGGCGCCGGTGATGAGGTGCTCGACGAAGGCGAAGAAGTAGGCGGGGCCGGAACCTGGGCAAAATTAGCAATGTCCCGTTTCACATAATTGAGGGCCCAACATACCAGACAGTCCAGTGACAACATCCAGGAGCTCCTCCTTATCAACCCACTCCGTCGCCTTGCTCACACTGCCCATCAGCGCCGTGGTCAACGCCTTCTCATCCTCCGTCACATCCTGGCTGGCATAGATACCCGAGGCGCCCTCTCCAACAAGCGCGGGCGTGTTGGGCATGACGCGGACAATGTGAGGCGCGCTGCCGCCGCTCTGCTTGAACCACTCGGCGATGCACTCGACCTTGTTGCCGGCCGTGATGGAGATGACGAGGGGCAGCTTCGCCGCGCCCTTCCAGCCAGCGCCGAGCTCTTCGCACACCGTCTTGCACACCTGCGGCTTGACGGCCAGGATGACGATGTCGGCGTCCTTGGAGGCCTCGAGGTTGGACGTGGTCGTGCGCACGCCCTGCGCGGCCATCTTCTCGCGGTTGACCTCCCACGGCTCGGACACGAAGATGTTCTGTTTGGGGATGTCCTTGGCGAGGAGGCCGCCGATGATGGCGGCGGCCATGTTGCCGCCGCCGATGAAGGTGACCTTGGCTTGCTGGAGGCTGGGAGTCATGTTTGGGGTCGGGTTTGGTGGGATGTGGAGGGTAGTGGGTTGTTGATGTGAGGTGAGGTTGGAACGTGGGGTTAAATCAGTTCAAATCGAGAGAGTTGGAGACCCGATAACGGTCCCGCAGATCGGGATGCCCCTCCGACGATGAGTCAGCCTGTCAAGAGCGCCACTTCCGGTAATTCGCGGATGCGGATTGGTCAATGGGGAAATGGGGCTGGAGACTTTGAAAACTGCCCCCTCCACTTTTCTGAGTTGAACATCTCCCGAAGACTCTGCAACTGCAACTCTATGCACGTAGTAGAGTATGCATAGATGAGTATACAATGCAGTTCTGAGGTTTAACTCGTGGAATGTACATGCGATGTGATCTCAGAGTTGACGAAAAATATGGCAGCACACGTTACATCGAGGGGGGTTTCTTTTTACTTTTTAACATCATTCACATCACGCTCTCTCAACCACCCCAGCAGTCGCAATCCTCGTGCGCTTTCCATAAAGCCACAGAGGAACTGTGAGAAGAGAAAAAATGCCCATCAGCATGCCAAATACTCCAAATGGCTCTGCGGCGCCCCTATCTTCGACCCAGTGCGACACGAAAAACGTCCATGCGAAAGCGATGATGGCGCGCATGATGGTAACAATGACGAAACAGTCTCCTGAGAGGCGGCCGTAGGAATCGATCAACTGTTTTCAAATGTTTAGTATGGTTGTTGCAGGGCGACAAAGTGGGTTTTGGGTTTTGACTTACGTAGTTAAAGCCAATTGAAGGGACCTGCATGAGACCAAATGCGACCATGGCGTATCCGAAGCATAACCCAACCCAGCCGTTCTTAGAAGGATACTGGGCCACAAAACCGAAAGTGAAGAAGCCGCATGTTGCAATGACTAGAGCGGGGAACATGGTCGGCAATCTGCTCTCGGGCTCCGCCAGTCCACCCTGCGTCTTGACCGTCTTCTTCAATCGAGAGTCGGACAGGAGATAAGTGTACAATGCACCGAAGAGCGTGCCAAGAATACCACCAACGTTGATGAGCCCGACATTCGCGCCCCACAGGTACGGGGGCTGGGCCATAATCTGAGGTCCGATGGTCGAGATGGTAACGATGCCGCCAACCAGTCCTGCGTAGTGGAACATGACCACCCACGTGCCGGGGAGCGCGAGAGTCCTCCATGGCGCGATGAAGTTCCGAAGGACTCCGCCGCGGTAGTGAGTAAAACCGAGGGATCTGGCGAACGTGTACGGTTTGTATTGCGTGACTTGGCTTCGGGCGTCCTCGACGTGGCTGTCCATGCCCTTCTCGTCGATGACGGGCCTCATGCCGGGGTCGGTCGAGGAGACGACGCGGTCGTACAGCGTTTCTGGGATGAAGAAGAAGACGCCGATGATGCATGCTGCGGAGATGGCGGCGCCGACCCAGAAGATGTAGGTCCACCCGAGTTGGAAACCGATGTACCCTCCTGCAATGCCGCCGAGGAGAGGACCACCTGCGAGGAATACGGTGTAGATGGCCTTTGCGAAAACATATGTTAGTCTGTATCAAAGAGACACTTCGTGTTCTTTGGATGTTTCAAACATACCATTGCTCGACCGCGCTCATCAACGAAAAAGACCTCCCCAATCAGAGCTGGAGCGACTGTCTCAGAGGCACTGCCACCAATAGCCTGAAAGACTCTCGCAGCGAGGACGGAGTTGTATGAAGTTCCAACGGCACACCAGATTGAGCACACAGTCATGATGACGGTTGAGACAAGTAGGACCGGCCTTCTACCGATGATGTTGGACAACGGAACCCACCAGATATTCGCCGCGCCGAGGAACAAGGTGCTAATCTACAACGAAGGTCCCATGTTAGTCGATCGAGATTTCAACTTCCTCCTTGACGTCTTTGGGTAACGTACGGCAATAAAGTAAGTCAAGTCGCTGAACGGCCGGTGGTCCGTGGGGAACTCCTTGAACCAGAGTTGAAGCGCAGGAGCGATGCTGGCACTGGTGAAGTTTCCGGCGAACGAGTAGAGGCCGACGGTCAGCAGAAGACCGAACTTGCGCCATTTTGGCCAGTTGAGAGGGTCGGCCGGGTCTTCTGATGGTTGGGGGAATCGGATGAGCGAGGCTGATGATCTTCGGGACCCGCCTGAGGATTCACTTTCGTCTTGAAATTCCACAAGTTAGTTAGGTGCAGAGTGACAAGATATTGGACCGACAAATGGAGTTATTAACAGAAGCCAGTTTTTTTGATGAATATTGGTGACCAACCCCAGGTCGAAGATGTCGACAACACAAAATTGACTCACACATCAACTTCGCCGTCCCAGGCGGCGTCGCCTCCAACACCTCATACTTGCTCAACGAAAAGGCATACTTCCAGCCCGACATGGCGTCGCTGTTTGTCGATTTTAATGTCAGTGTCGTTGGTGGTTCAATGTTTGATGAACTTTCGAGATGACAAGTTCAAACTGTTGACCCGTCATGATCTGATCTCGAAACTCTGGCTCCTGAGTCGTCCCTTTTTTAACTAGATACCCTCGTCCTTCTGCAAGAACAAGTCGCTAGTCTGGAGCGAGAAAGTGTTGTGCTCGCACTACCCCGGGTTCCCCAGGAGATCCACATTAGTCGCATCCATGCAACCTTAATCCAGTGGCTGCCGGAGTGGGGGACGAGGGGCTTCCGGTGGTGGGGGATCCTGGCCCCGGCACATCGCGACGGGAATTCTGAGCGTCTGAGGGTGACTTAGAGCTTGTAAGTTACCATTT